AATCAATCTATTTGTCTTGTGAGCAAACTCTAAGGGCTTTAATAAAATGCAAAACCTCAATAAAAGTCAAAAGCATAAAGTAACTGACCACAAAAACTGATGCCTACTTAAGTCTGCATGAGTTTCTAAAGCAAAAAAGGCTACAATACCTCTGTGCTCTGTGTCAATCACACAGTACAAGGGGTATTGTGTTCAGTTTTAGTAACATCACATTTTCAGAAAAACATGATCAACCAAAGGAAGAGTACCAGGACGATGAGCATCTGGAAATTACACCATACTCAATTGAAGAAAACAAGAGTGCTTGGTCTAAATAGAAAAGATTCAAAGAGGACATGAGTGCCTTCCTCCAATATTTTTAGTGCTACTGTATAGACTTATTCTGAGCACAACATAGCAAAAAGAACAAATCTTGCCCAGTGCTGCCACTTACTGTGTGCATCTGGATTGGTTACTCAGCCCTCCTGTGGCTCAATTATGACTTCCATAATTACTGGAAGAGTAAGAAGGACAATGCATGCTCAAAATCCTAACAGAGTATGTGCATAGGATGGGCATGTAATAAGTGTTAGTTTCCCCTTTCTGAGGCAGAACTGAAACTAAAACAGTAAATCAAAATGGGCAAGTACCCAGGAATATTAGAGAGAACAAGAAAGTTTATTGCAACTTCTAAAACTGAAGGTTGCTCTGAAAAAGATGCCCTACCTTCCTTTCTAATGACCTCTTTGTCATTGTTTATTCCAGCAGAAGCTAGATAATCAACTAGCAAGAAGGTAAAAGAGAGGAACTCTTAGAGCTGGTGTAAGCGAGGCTGGAGTACCCTTAAAAGTCTCCTCCAGCTCCAAGATTCAGTGAGTTCAGATAAAAGAGAAAATAAAATCTTTAGGTTCCCATTCTAATCCATGATTTATCTGAGGCCAACGAATGTGAGCAATACATTATTTCAAAAAACAGAAGGACAAACTTGACTGTATTTCCTCCAGAACACGGCAGAAAATGGGTGAATAAGGCACAATGCTCTATGCCCTTAAGTGGGTCCCCAGGACATAACACATTGAATCAGCTGTTCCTCATGATTCGACTGAGGAACAACTCAGTTGAATTTTGTGTTCATCACAAAATTCTACTTGAGTAGAAAACAGGGGCTCAAGGAGGCAGTGGGAGAAAAGAGGATAATGTGTCTAATTGGTGAAAACATTAGAAATAATAAAAGTAATGATAAATTAAGGACCCCAACAAAGAGAAAAGCTGCTCAGATCTTAGGTGTTACATTTATGCAGGAGTTTATTGGATTTTTTTCTAAAGAACTGACGTGGTTAAGAAAGGGTGGACAGAGCATTTGAGCTGTGGACTTCTAGATCGGAAAGCATGTAGAAGGAAAAAGACTGGTGAACCAGATATGAGAGGTCCATCTTCCAAACTTTTAGGCTAAACTTTGGCGGAAGTCCAAGCCTAAAATTTGAATAGATTTCTATTTCCCCATATTCAAAAAAACCTAGCCAGGTTTTTCCAGGGATGAATAAACCACTAAATCAAGAAAAACCAGAGAGTAAAGTGGTTGCATGCAAACCAGACTTCCGCAAGGATACCTATTTTGAAATGATGCTCTTTAGCGCTGCTTTATTGTGGTTATGAGTGCAGTCTGATCTTCACTTCCGCAGGAGTCCCACAGGGAACACGGTAAGGAGGGGGCAGTGTGGGAAGAGATCAACCAGGAAGTTTTCCAGATTGAAACCTAGGTGGTTTTAATGCAAACCACACTGTAGCCATCAAGAAATGATCCTATCATTAAAGCTATAATGATATCCCTGCTAGGGAAGATAGCCTATCAGGAAGAAAATGAGAATTCAGGTGTGTCTGGTCAACAACAACAACAAAGTGTTTATTAAAATAAAAAATGTATTATGTATATTTAAGATATACAACATGATGTTACAAGATATATATAAACTAAAATGATTACTATAGTGGAACAAATTAATATATCCATCATCTCACAAAGTTACAAAGTTGTCTTATAATAACAAAGTCCAAACTCCATTCCCCCACTCCTGTGGCAAGTGTAGCTAAAATCCACTCATTTAGCAAAATCCTGAATACAATACACTAATATGAACAATTGTCTTCATGTTGTACATTAGATCTTGTGACTTGTTCAACCTACATATTTGCTATTTTGTATTTTTTGACCTAAATCTTTCCATTTCCTAAAAAAATAGTCTTAAAAGAAGCTTATCATGAGGGAGTTACATCTTTGGTGTCTAAACGGCCTGGAAAGCACTCTCTCCTTCACACATACATGCACACACGTACACACACACACACACACACACACACACACGTACACACACGCACACACACACTTGTACTTAACCTGTCACAAGGCTAAAATTTCACAGGTAAAAAAAATTCATTTGCATTTTGAAACCACTTTAATTTTTAAGATTAACAATGGACTGCAACATCCAGCATAATAATACCTGAACAGTTTATAGTAGTTCATATTTCTGTACCATTTTACAATCTGTAAGCTGCTTTTTAAAATTTTATTTAGTTTTTTTTTTAATTGTACTTTAGGTTGTGGGGTACCTGTGCAGATCATATAGGATTGTTGCATAGGTACATAAATGGCAATGTGGTTTGTTGCTCCCTCCCTCCATCACCTATATCTGGCATTTCTATTCGTGTTATCCCTCCCCAACCTCAGCATCTACCCGCTGTGCCTCCCCTGGCCCCTACAACAGACCCCAGTGTGTGCTGCTCCCCTCCCTGTGTCCATGTGTTCTCACTGTTAAACATCTACCTATGAATGAGAACATGTGGTGTTTGATCTTCTGTTCTTGTGTCAGTTTGCTGAGAATGAGGGTTTCCAGGTTCATTCATGTGCCTACAAAGGACACAAACTCATCCTTTTTTATGGCTGCATAGTATTCCATGGTGTATATGTGCCACATTTTCCTTGTCCATTCTATCATCGATGGGCATTTGGGTTGGTTCCAGGTCTTTTCTATTGTAAGCAGTGCTGCAATGAACATACGTGTGCATGTGTCTTTATAACATTTATAATCCTTTGGATATATACCCAGTAATGAGATTGCTGGGTCAAATGCAATTTCTATTTCTAGGTCCCTGAGGAATTGCCACACTGTCTTCCACAGTGGTTGAACTAATTTACACTCCCACCAACAGTGTAAAAGTGTTCCTATTTCTCCACATCCTCTACAGCATCTGTTGTCTCCAGATTTTTTAATGATCACCATTCTAACTGGCGTGAGATGGTATCTCAATGTGATTTTGATTTGCATTTCTCTAATAACCAGTGATAGCATTTTTTCATATGTTTGTTGGCCTCATGTATGTCTTCTTTTGAAAAGTGTCTGTTCATATCCTTTGCTCACATTTGGTTGGGCTTCTTTGCTTTTTTCTTGTAAATCTGTTTTTGTTCTTTGTAGATTCTAGATATTAGCCCTTTGCCAGATGGGTAGATTGCAAAAATTTTTTCCCATTCTTTTGGTTGCTAGTTCACTCTAACGATTGTTTCTTTTGCTGTACAGAAGCTCTGGAGTTTAACTAGGTCCCATTTGTCTATTTTGGCTTTTATTGCCAATGCTTTTAGTGTTTTAGTCATGAAGTCCTTGCCTATGCCTATGTCCTGAATGGTTTTGCCTAGGTTTTCTTCTAGGGTTTTTATGGTGTTAGGTCTTATGTTTAAGTCTTTAATCCATCTGGAGTTAATTTTAGTGTAAGGTGTCAGGAAGGGGTTCAGTTTCTGATTTCTGCACATGGCTAGCCAGTTTTCCCAACACCATTTATTAAATAGGGAATCCTTTCCCCATCACTTGTTTTTGTCACGTTTGTCAAAAATCAGATGGTTGTAGATGTGTGGTGTTACCTCCAAGGCCTCTGTTCTTTTCCACTGGTCTATGTCTGTTTTGGTACCAGTACCATTCTGTTTTGGTTACTGTAGCCTTGTAGTATAGTTTGAAGTCAGGTAGCATGATGCCTCCAGATTGTCTTGGCTATGAGGGCTCTTGTTTGGTTCTACATGAAGTTTAAGGTGGTTTTTTTTCCAGTTCTGTGAAGAAGGCCTTTGGTGGCTTGATGAGGATAGTGTTGAATCTATAAATTACTTTGGGCAGTGTGGCCATTTTCATGCTATTAATTCTTCCTAACCATGAGGATGTAATGTTTCCCCATCTGTTTCTGTCCTCTCTTATTTCCTTGAGCAGTGGTTTGTAGTTCTCCCTGAAGAGGTCCTTTACATCGTTTGTTAGTTGTATTCCTAGGTATTTTGTTCTCTTTGTAGCAATTGTGAATGGGAGTTTGCTCATGATTTGGCTGTCTGTTAGTCTGTTATTGGTGTATAGAAATGCTTGTGATTTCTGCATATTGATTTTATATCCTGATACTTTGCTGAAGTTGCTTATCAGTTTCAGGAGATTTTGGGCTGAGATGATAGGGCCTTCTAAATATACAATCATGTCATCTGCAAATAGAGACAATTTGACTTCCTCCTTTCCTAATTGAATACCCTTTTTTTTTTTTCTTGCCTAATTGCTCTGGCTAGAACTTCCAATACTATATTGAATAGGAGTGGTGAGAGAGGGCATCCTTGTCTAGTGCCACATTTCAAAGGGAATACTTCCAGTTTTTGCCCATTCAGTATGATATGGGCTGTTGGTTTGTCATAAATATCTTTAATTATTTTGAGATATGCTCCTTCGATACCTAGTTTTTTGAGAGTTTTTAGCATAAAGGGCTGTTGAATTTTGTCAAAGGCCTTCTCGGCATCTCTTGAGATAATCATGTGGTTTTTGTCTTTGGTTCTGTTTATGTGGTAGATTACATTTATAGACTTGCGTATGTTGAACCAGCCTTGTATCCCCGGATGAAGCCTACTTGATCGTGATGGATAAGCTTCTTGATGTGCTGTTGCAATCGGTTTGCCAGTATTTTATTGAAGATTTTTCATCTATGTTCATCATGAATATTGGCCTGAAGTTTTCCTTTTTCTGTTGAGACTCTGCCGGGTACCACTTTATAATCTGTAAATTACTTTTGCATGTACATATCGTTTCATCCAATTCTCATGTCGACTTTGCTACGTATGTATTATTACTCACATTTCACAGAGAAAGTAATGTAGACTCAGAGGTTAAGTCCTTTACTGAAGAAATACTGCTTACTAAGTGATAGAGCAAGGATTTAAGCCCAGGTCTGTTATGTCTCCAAAGCCCATCCTCAGCCACACTGGTGGATTACAAACCCAGTCTGGATCCCAGAAATGTATACATTCCAAAGCCTTCTTCATATGATTCTTATAATAACAAAGTCCAGAGCCCATGACTATATCATCCTACAGATACGGAGTAAATACTGATAATGGCCTAAAAATGATCACTTAATGTAGCTGAGTTGTTGCTTAAAATCACTTTGTCACTATGTGGTTATTTTCATATCTGGCTTCTTAAGTCTCGTGTTCTGTCCTATATTTTGCTTGAGTAATATTACTGTTTTGTTCAGCAAATCTGTTAATTTTAATTTTTTTATAAGTGAATTACCCACATCAACACTGACATCTCAGTTTAGCTTTATCCAGCCACCTATCCATATTGTCTATCACGTTCTCCAAAGTTTGCTGCACCAGGCAACCCAATGAGAATGCAGAAAGGAAATTTTGAATTTATATTTTTATTTTAATTACAAGAAAACTTCTTCAAAACTTCACCAATTTTTACCATGTTAATGGATGGCAGTTTATACACAGTTTATAAGTGAATATGAGTAAAAAGTCATATAGAATATACTCAATACTATATTGTTGGGGTGTCCGATCAAAAAAGAAGTAGAAATCACTGGTCTAGTCTATAGCCCCTTCCCTATGACCAGGAAGTTGTGCCTGCTCTCCCGGGGAGGGATTGGGAAGAATAATTCCTTTTGAATATGTAATTTGTGCTCTAATCCTCACAGGATGGCAGAAAATGACCTTAGAAGCCAGAAATATCTCCCACGCCGTGAGTGACTTCATCCTCTTGGGCTTCTCTTGCCGCTGGGAAATACAGATTTTCCTCTTTTCCACATTCTTTGTGACTTATATCCTGACTCTCCTTGGAAACCTGGCTATTATGTGTGCAGTGCGCTGGGACCACCGGCTCCACACCCCCATGTACATTCTGCTGGCCAACTTCTCCTTCCTGGAGATATGCTATGTCAACTCTGATGTGCCCAACATGCTGGCCAACTTGCTCTCCAAAAACAAAACCATTTCCTTTGCTCGATGCCTCCTCCAATTGTACTTCTTCTTCTCCCTGGGCACAACTGAATGCTTATTTCTCTCGATCATGGCCTATGACCGGTTTCTGGCAATCTGCCGCCCCCTACACTATCCTACTGTCATGACTACTAAGTTTTGTAGCAGCCTGATCATCTTCTGCTGGGTGTATGGTTTTATCTGGTTTCTAATCCCAGTTATACGCATCACCCAGCTGCCATTTTGTGGCCCAAACGTGATTGATGACTTTCTATGTGACCTCAGTCCCCTGCTGGCCCTGGCATCAGCCTGTGTCCCAATCCCAGGGACTGTTCTCATATGTGGCACCATGAGTTCCCTCCTCATCTTTGCAACCTTTTTCTACATTATTGGCTCCTATACCCTGGTGCTGAGGGCTGTGATGGAGGTACCCTCTGCTGCTGGCCAGAAGAAGGCCCTCTCCACCTGCTCCTCACACCTGACTGTCGTGTTTTTATTTTATGGCTCAGTCATGATGACATATGTGAGTCCAGGGTCAGGACAAGCAGAAAGCATGCAGAAGTTCACAACTTTGTTCTACTCAGTTTTGACCCCTTTGTTCAACCCCATGATCTACAGCCTCCGGAATAAAGAAATGAAGGATGCCTTGAAGAAAGTTCTAGGAGGCTCCTAAAATTGCTCTGTAATGTTAGTGAGTTATTACCAAGTAAGTTCAGACTGTGAGCCCCAGCAGTGAAGAGCTGAGAAACTGGCAAGTAGATGTGAACTTTTCAAAAGAGACATTTCAAAATCCTAAATGCCATGTTATCAATGAAACCTTTACCCGGGCAGAATTAATTGCCTCTTCCACAGCACATTACTTGCATTTCTATTTAACAGGTACTTCATTCTTTTTTGTATTATACTTAGCTATTTACAAATGTGTCTTCACATATATCCCATCCTGATTAGATATTCAGTTCCTTGAGAGCAGGAACTATGTTTTATTAATTTCTGTAATTCCAGAACTCAAAACAGTACCTAGCATACATGTCAATAATATCAATTTAAATAAAACAAATGTATTTCTTCATATTTCCTCATTAGTTTCTATCATTTTTCATGGTCAGGACAATATCTAAAAAAGCCATACAAACTCTGTAACAGTCTATATTTTATATGTCTTATACATGAAATGAAAAGAACTTTCATATAAGAAAGTGAAGTCAACCTTGACTGGTAGGACAAGCCATTACCTGATAATCAAATCAATGGAAAAATTTAACCAGATGAAAGTGAATGTCCAAGAAATCATCTCCTTCCTTCTCTTCATCAATCCCTTTGTCTGATGTAAGTTGCATTATTTTATCTTCTTCTTCTTAACCATGCTTCCACTCCTATGTATTTTTAAATATATCCCACAATCCTTGCTATTGAAAGTGTGGTCTTTGATCATCAGCTGGGCGTCACTGGAGAGCTTTCTAGAAGACAGGATCTAAGGACTCTGTCCTAGTTCTATTGAATCAGAATCTGTGTTTTGAGGACATCCCCAGTGGATTTATTTGCACATTAAAGTTTAAGAAGCATTCATCTATAAGAAATTCTCTGAAAGAGTCACAGTAATAACAACCACATGTAGGACTTCCTGTTGACACCTACCTTCATTTGAACAGTAGTTCTCAACCTACTGACTCAGAATCAGGGTTGGGGCCAAAGTACAAGTATTTTGAAAAGTTCCCTTAGGAGATTGTAACAAACAGAGGGTTAAGAACCACTGCACTGGAATTTAGAAATTCCCACACTCTGCAATAACACAGGATAAGACCATTTCTACATTTCTTTTCTTTTCAAAAGCCACCCTGGTACAAATCAACCACATTAGATCTCAATAATGTTCCTGGACCAAACTGAGGGTCGGGCTGCTATTTTTCACAGCCCAATAACAAAATGCAGATGAACAGGGGAGGAAGAGAGTTTTTATTTCTGTAACTGGTTACAAGGAGATGGTCTGGAAATTATCACCAGACCAACTCAAAATTACAAAGTTTTTCAGAGCGTATATACCTTCTAAGCTATATGTCTACAGGTAAGTATGCGTTCATCTAAAGACATAAGCGATTAACTTCTTTTAATCCATAACTAAGGTCTGAGTCCTGAAGTCCTTCTTCTAGAGCCTCAGCAAGTTTACTTAATCTAAATGGGTCCAGGTGCTGAGATGATTACCCTTTGTCTCCTGCTAAATCACTGGGGTTTGGGGAGTTCCTTCAGACATCCAGTAAACTTGCGTGTGGAGGCCTGGAGGGTTTCTTCACACCCCCAATAAAACTTGTTTAATCCTAAGTAGGTCCTGTTAAGAATTCCTTCATTATTTTGTCAGGCCCAAGAAAGGCCTAGCCAAAACTCCTGATGGGCTGTTGTTGCATTCCAGCCTTTGTATAAGGGCACTGGCTTTTTTAGCTCTAATATTTAGCTTTACCGCTCAGTCAGTACTGAAACAGTTGTGATGGGTGTCTGCATTGGTGAAATCTGTCTTGCCACAATAAGACATAGTGTAATCCAACTATAGTATTCATCACTTTGCTAAAAAATGTTGTGTCTCATAGGTGTAGGCAAGGACTTCATGACCAAAACACCAAAAGCATTGACAACAAAAGCCAAAATAGACAAATGGGACCTAATCAAACTTCACAGCTTCTGCACAGCAAAAGAAACAGTCATTAGAGTGAATCGGCAACCAACAGAATGGGAAAAAATTTTTGCAGTTTACCCATCTGACAAAGGGCTGATATCCAAAATTTACAAAGAACTAAAACAGATTTACAAGAAAAAAACTAACAAGCCCATTCAAAAGTGGGCAAAGGACATGAACAGATACTTTACAAAAGAAGACATACATGAGGCCAACAAACATATGAAAAAATGCTCATCATCACTGGTCACCAGAGAAATGCAAATCAAAACTACATTGAGATACCATCTCACGCCAGTTAGAATGGCAATCAGTAAAAAATCTGGAGACAACAGATGCTGGAGAGGACGTGGAGAAATAGGAACACTTTCACACTGTTGGTGGGAGTGTAAATTAGTTCAACCATTGTGGAAGACAGTGTGGCGATTCCTCAAGGACCTAGAAATAGAAATTCCATTTGACCCAGCAATCCCATTACTGGGTATATATCCAAAGGATTATAAATCGTTCTACTATAAGGACACGTGCACAGGAATGTTCATTGCAGCACTGTTTAGCAAAGGCCTGGAACCAATCCAAATGCCCATCGATGATAGACTGGACAGGGAAAATGTGGCACATATACACCATGGAATATTATGCAGCCATCAAAAATCATAAATTTGTGTCCTTTGTAGGGACATGGATGAACCTGGAAACCATCAATCTCAGCAAACTGACAGAAGAGCAGATCAAACACCACATGTTCTCACTCATAGGCGGGTGTTGAACAATGAGAACACATGGACACAGGGAGGGGAGCACTACACACTGGGGTCAGTTGGGGGGAAATAGGGGAGGGACAGTGGTGGGTGGGGAGTTGGGGAGAGAGAGCAAGGGGAGAGATGCCAGATATAGGTGATGGGGAGGAAGGCAGCAAATCACACTGCCACATGTGTACCATGCAACAATCTTGCATGTTCTTCACATGTACCCCAAAACCTAAAATGCAATAAAATAAATAAATGGGAAAAAAAATGTTGTGTCCACGTGCACACGAATGTTCATTGCAGCACTGTTTACAATAGCAAAGACCTGGAACCAACCCAAATGCCCATCGACGATAGACTGGATAGGGAAAATGTGGCACATATACACGATGAAATATTATGCAGCCATCAAAAACGATGAGTTTGTGTCCTTTGTAGGGACATGGATGAACCTGGAAACCATCATTCGCAGCAAACTGACAGAAGAGCAGATCAAACACCGCATGTTCTCACTCATAGGCAGGTGTTGAACAATGAGAACACATGGACACAGGGAGGGGAGCACTACGCACTGGGGTCAGTTGGGGGGAAATAGAGGAGGGACGGTGGGGGGTGGGGAGCTGGGGAGAGATAGCAAGGGGAGAAATGCCAGATGTAGGTGATGGGGTGGAAGGCAGCAAATCACACTGCCACGTGTGTACCTATGCAACAATTTTGCATGTTCTTCACATGTACCCCAAAACCTAAAATGCAATAAAATAAATAAATGGGGGGAAAAAAAGATGCAAGTGTAGTATAGTGCAAGGAAAATAAAGTTTAGAATTTGCAAAAAAGGAAATAGCTAACATGGGGTAATTTATGAAGAAAAGAGGTTTATTTTGGATCATGGTTCTGCAGGCTGTACAGGAAGCATGGTGTTGGCATCTGCTCCTGGTGAGGGCCTTAGGGAACTTTCAATTGTGGCATGGGGTAGCCAGCATGTCGCATGGTGAGGGAGGGAGCCAGAGAGAGGAGGAAGTGCCAGATTCCTTTAAACAATCAGCTGTCATGTGAACTGAGTGAGACCTCACTATGACTATGGGAAGTCACCATGCCCTTTATGATCCACTCCCTTGACCCAAACACCTCCAACCAGGCTCTGTCTCCAGTGTTGCAGATCACATTTCAACATGCGGTTTGGAGGGCACAAATATCCTAACATATTACTGGTATTCCCCAGAAGAAATGCAAAGTGGTGCTAAGTATTTTCCTCTAATTATCTTCACAGAACTCTTAAAGGAAGAATTTTGGTTTGGGGGGAGAGAATAAAATGGGTAGAATGCCTTAGGTGGCCACTGGCAGGAGACACAAGCATATGAAAGTGGAGAGGAGAGGGAGAAGGAGAGGGAGAATGAGGGCAGAGGGCAAACGAAAGACAAAGAAAGAGAACAGAAAATAAAGATCATTAAGTGTTCGCTTCTTTTTTTCCCTCACACAAAGGTATTTCCAATGCAGCAGTCATGCAATATAATGAAAGTTCAGGCATAGTTTAGAATTTAAAAGTATTGTACGAAAATATATTGTTATGAAATCCGTGTTTTGCGTATTGCAAATGAATCCTCCCCTTACTGCTTTTATAAAGCTTCTTCTTGATTGAAAAAAAAAAAATGTTGTGTCCAAAATAGGTGTCTCTTTTAAATGTTGTTTACATGCTTGTATTTAGAAGATTACACATAGTAAAAAGAATTGAGAATAGAAAGAAAAGTGTGTACAGCAACTTATGCAATCATTCATTTAAAATATTTCTGAGAAAAACTATCCCAGCGGTGTACTAGCTTTTGGATTAACCCAGATTATCAAAATTTCCTTCCTTCCCTTAGGGAGATCGCAACTCCCTAATAGAAGTAAACTTCTTTAACCTTTCTTGTTCTGTAACAGTTTGATTGAAATATAGTTCATATACCATACACTTCTTTTTAAAGTATACAATTCAGTGTTTCTAGTTCATTCACATAGGTGTGCAACTACTACCACAATAAACTAAGAAAATTTCACCACCCACTCCCCCACCAAAAAAAAAATTCCAAACCCATTAGCAGTCACTCCCCAGAAACCACTAATCTACTTTCTGTCTCTATGAATTCACCTATTCTGGGTATCCCTCTAATACCAAAACCAAGAAAGAACATAACAACAAAAAGAGAACTGCAGGCCAACATTCCTGATGAACAAAGATGCAAAAATCCTTACCAAAATACTAACTAACTGAATCCAACAGTATATCAAAAAGATATTCCACTACAATCAACTTCATACCAGGGATGAAGGGATGATTGAACATATGCAAGTAAATAAATGGGATATACCACATAAAGAGAATTAAAAACAAAAATCACATGATCATCTCAATAGACTCAGAAAAAGCATTCGGTAAAATCCAGCATCCCCTCATGATCAAAACTCTTAGCAAAATCAGCATACAAGGAACATACCTCAATGTAATAAAAGCCACTTATAGGCTGGGCGCGGTGGCTCAAGCCTGTAATCCCAGCACTGTGGGAGGCCGAGGCGGGTGGATCACGAGGTCAAGAGATCGAGACCATCCTGGCCAACATGGT